AATTCATTAATTATATAATAAATAATATTTACCTTTTTTAATTTTGAGATTTTCTTCATTTTCATCCAATCTGAATTCAAATGAATTCAAAGCTAAATATAATCCAATTCCAACAGCTTTAACATAACTTTCTTTCAGGCACCAAAATCTATAAAATCTTTGCAATTGGCGAATTTCCACTTCCTCTTTGTTGTAATGTTGTTGCTGATTATTTATCAATAGATTAAACTCATTTTCTGTAAACTTTGAAAAACCATTTTATTATTAATATTGCTTATTTTTTTGAAAATAAAACAAATTCAAAAATAAATTGTAAAATTTTTACTTGATCTTTAAATGTGGTAATAAATTTTTTAACATTATAACCAGCATTAGGTTGTTCGATCTTCATTAAATCAATACCAATTCGACAATTTTCTCCAGCAACTAACACAACCCAATCACCATGATGTGAAATATTAAAATCACACAAAATATTTAATTTCGGATTAATCTTGATTAAATAAAATTGTTTTTTTTGGAAAATAATTACACCATTATTGTTTTAGGAAGAAAAAAAAATCACTATTTATTATTTTAGAAAGAATCATTTTACCAAAATAGGTTTATTATATTCTGTTCTATCAAATTCAACTTCTCTATAACCAATTCCATAAATTCTGTTAAATAATAATATCATCAACAATCTCCCAATTAATGAAGACTTTAAATTTTCCAAAACTTTAATTTTTTTGATTTTCTCTTGTTCGTTAGTTTGTACAAGTGATAACAATTGATCGTATTCTTTAGTTGTAGGAATCCAATTTTTTGTATTAAAAGCCCATCTTGCAATAATTTTTGCTTTGACGCTTTTAAACATTTTTTTGTGAAATTTTCTCTGAATTTCCGAGAAATGTTTTTGAATTTATTATTATTATATAACGTTTTTCGCAAATGATAAATAATAATATTAATATTAAGATAAATTGTTATTATCATTATCGTTATTATATTATAATCCTTTTTAAGCATTGTGAAACAATTAAAAATAAATACAAGATGAATGAAATGTCTATTGATAGAAGGTCCATAATAATACATCAAGTATAATAAAGCATT